GCGGCTATGTTGCCGGCGTCGCCGCCTCGTCGCCGCCCTAAATTTCACAACCTAAGCTTGCGCCGCGCACATTGCGCCACATGAGCGGCACCACATAGATTGCACAATAAGGATTCGCCTCTCCTAAGAGAAATTGGATTCTCCCCCCCCCCCTGGGATTACCACTCCCCCATGGGGTTTTGCAATTTACATGTGGTTTTGTCGCATTGCTCATCTTCCATATGATTTCAGACCATCCCAACAAATCCCGGCATCGCCCCCCCCTTCATCCCTGTCAAATCATACCATGCGGTGCGCATGCGTTGATCCAAGATGAGCTGAGTGCACGAAACTTTCTGAAATAATACCACGCGGGCCACATGCGCGCGCGCAAAACGAAATTCTTCCAACACCAATGTTTTCATTGCGATCGCAGCGTTAAAACAAAAACGACCCATTGGATTTCGACAGCGACCTTGCAACATTTCATCCCGCGCGTTCTTGCGGACCCCTAAGAAATCCAACGTTTTGTTTTACAACTTCCCTGTCCAAGGGCGCGTTCGCGCGCGCGTCGACCCGATTACAATGCCCTCGAGCGCTTGCCAAAGGCATGATCCATGTCAAATGATACCGTGCGGGGCACCGCCATCGTCATGTCGGAAGCGTCGTGATCATTATCATCGTCGTTTGTCGCAACGGTCGTCCGCGCTCACTCGCGCAAAATGGAATTCGCCCGCGCGACGAGCGTCCGCGCGCCAGTGGACATGATGAAATTATCGGAAGGGCTCCACGCTGTAATGGTACTCGCGACCTATGGATTCTGCCAACAACCTTATCATCTTTTGTCGACGTTGTCGTCCACGCTGTCTCCCGCAAGATGGACTTTGCCCGCGCCACGAGGGTCCGCGTGCCAGCGAGCTCGCTGAAATTTGCAAACGAGCTCCGCGCTGCGACTGCAGTCGCGACTTTATGAGTTTTGCCGACCAGGATGCGTGTGGGAGGGTGGGATGTTTGTACGAGCGTCCAAAGTGGTTACGCGCGGTGCAACGTGGCCAATGACACCGCATATATTGCACCGCGTGGATTGCACAACATATGATGCACCACATAGAATGCGCAACATATGCTGCACCACGTAGACTGCACACCTTAGATTGAACCACGTAGGTTGCACCACGTAGTTTGCACAACATATACTGAACCGCATACATTGCACCACGTGGGTTGCACAACATCAGTTGCACGGTCGAAGCATAACATATATTGCACTCCATGTATATTGCGCCGCGTATAACGCGCAACGTCAATTGCACAACATATACTGCCCCGCGTGACTTGCACCGCGTAGATTGCACAACGCATATTGCTCGAAACGCGCCGTCTGGGGTCCACGCTGGCTAGCATTCCCTTTTCCTATATTTCTATAACCTGGGACCCTGCAGACTCCCCCGCGAAACGGGATCCCCGGCGCCCAGGGTTCCTGGGCGCCCCAGAGGGTCCCGCGAGATTTCCGGGTCTCTGGAAGTCCCTGCCATGCCGTGCAAATTGGCCAGCGGCGGTCCCAACAACCCCCCAAGACGGTCCAAGAGTGCCTCCAGTGGCCCCAGACCCTTGCCAGATGCCCGAATACGGCCCAAATATCAGCCCCCAAAATGCTTCCAAAACGCCAGAAACGTTGATTTCCCTATGAATTTTGCATGATGTTGGGCTACTAGGCTATTCGGTGTTCAGGGCGTCCGAGATAACCTGAAAAGCACAGAAAAACCGTTCCAAAACGACCAGGGCAAACTTTCTGACACTCAAAGAGAACACCAATACGCCCCAAGAGGGCTCAGAAACTGCCCACGAAAGGCCCCAAGACGGCCCCAAACTGCCCCAAGATGCCCACACGAAGCATTCAAACCGTGGCCCGAGACCGCGGTTCGCGGCATTGTGGCCCGAGGAGCGCCCCAGAGGCCGCCAAAAAGGCGCCAGGGACGTCTCCTGAGGCGCCCAGGGAGCCCCCTAATAAGCTTTCGCGAGGTCCTCCAAAAATTCGCCTCGGAGGAGCCTCCGCAAACACGTCTGATACGCAGAAGGCGTCTATACACCACCACCGTGCCAGGCCAGGGCCATCCTGGCGCTGGCATGGTTTATACGCCCTCCTGGCCGAAGCCAGGAGGGTCTATACACCACCCTGGGGCCCAGGATGGCCCTGGACTGGCACGGTGGTGGTGTATAGACGCCTTCGTCGGATCTGATGAGGATGGGGAAGTGTTCGCGGGGCAAGTGAGGCGAGAACGGGGAAGAGGAAGAGCACACATGAGGGAGGGAGGTGGAACAACGATGTGATAACGGTGATGGCGAACATTGCAACCAAGAGCGATCGCTGTTTTGATTGATCTACCTCTCTCTTAAGTTGCACGGCGCAAGGCGCCAACACACAGTCTTGTGTGTTTATGTATATATATATATATGTATACACGATCGGGGGGGCGCCCATCCTCGACAGGGGTGCGTACGAATAACTTCCCTGGAGGTGTATCCCCGAACGTTCCATCTTTTGTGTGCGGCCTGATTTTTGTCGAAACGTCGGGGGTTGAGGGCGAGAGATCGCCTGCGAAATCCGATGCGGCAAGTTACCGTCACGATGGCGTCGGCGTCCGAAACGGACCCCGCGTGGATCGTTCAACCTTGAACGATCGCGGCTTTCGGACGGAGCCGATCGTTCGAAGTCGACCCATTCTGGGCCAATGGCGGCGTGCAACCTTGCAAGACCACGCTGGGGTCGCCGCCAGGTCAATGCGGCGCGAACTTACCGTACCAAGCACTATCGGAGGAACGTCATCGCAAGTGGAAGCACGTCCCGCTGTCGAACTTATCTACGAACAACAGCCCGGCCAATCTGGCAACGCCAGAGGCCGACATGCGCCAATCTGGCAACGCCAGTGGCCAGCATGCTGCACAACGAAGCCGCGGGCGCCGTGCCGAGACTGCCATGCCCCTTGCCTACTGCACAGCGGTGGGATCCGCAGGCCCCCTTGGGGTCGCTGGCGTAAGGTCACCCCAGCGAAGCACTCGAACAGCAGGGCGCGCTGGGGGGGGGGAACGGGAGAGCCCCCAGGGAGCGCTTCTGGGGGGGGGGGGGGCAGTCTTTGACTGCTGCTAGAGCCAGGTGCAACATGCTATTCGGCAGCGCCTGCCTGTCCAACACGCCCCCCTCCCGGGGGAGCTCACCCTGATAGTTGGAGGAGTGGTCGCGGGTTGGGAAGGAGAGGCCCTGAGAAATAGTGGAGAGGGGGGGGAGGCCGCCGATGAAGAAAAAGGGGGACGCGGAGGGGATGACCGGGGCCCCAGAACCGCGTGGTGGCGGACCGCGTGGCGACCTCGGAATCCCCAACGACCTCACCACGCGGTCCGTCACCGCACGGTTTGGGGATCTCGGATGCCACAGCCGCTCCAGACATCCTCGGAGAACGACTCCAGTCCCAAAACCGCGTGGCGACCCCGAATCCCCACTGGCTCACCACGCGGTGTGGTCCCCACACTCGCCATCGTTTGGACGTCCATTCCCTGTTTTTTTCGGTTTCGCGCGTGGTTCTTTCGCCAAATGATCAAGGATGCTCCTCGATGGTCCTCGCCGAAGGAAAAATGCACACGTCCGAGCGATGCCAAGCCACAACGTTTTGGGGCCCCCGAGCATGGGGATGGGGCAGGGGGGAAGGGCCGAAGCCATCCCAGCACACACCACCGATGCCGCAGTGCGGGGATCACGAGCGGCGAACAAATCCCTGTCCGCGCCCTCGCGGTCTGGCCTCCGGGGCCCGGCTCCGCGGAACTGCGGTCGCACGGAGGCGCCCTGCGCGGGGGCAGCCGCGAAGACAAGCGCCCCTCGTCAGCGGCCCAGTGGCCCGGCCCGCGATGCCGCGGACACGGGCAAGCTTTCGCCCCGAGGGGAAGCTTGTCCTCCTCCCACTCCGCCTCCTCCGCCTCCTCCCCCTCCTCCTCCTCCTCCTCCTCCTCCTCCTCCGCCACCTCCCCCTAGCTGGCCGAGGCTCACCGTGACCAGACAGGCCCAGCCGCTCCCTGTCTGGCCAGTCCCGTAGGCCTGAATGCAGCGGCTTGGCATCTCCTGGGGGGGCGCATCTCTTTCCTCCGCCATGGCTTGCGCCGGCGGACCCGCCCCCCCTGTGCTTCCGCCAGCCTTCCGCGGGCCCCATGCCGAGGCAGAGATGCCAACCTTACGGTCCCCCGAGGGCGCGGGCCTCTCAGAGCGACCCACTTGGCGTTCCTCATACGGTGAGGGTATTGGGAGAGAAGCCATTGGATACAGGAGAAAGGAGTCCAGCGTCTGGAAGCCGGTGGCACTTCCATCGTGGATTGGCCACAGAAATCACCGCCGCCCTCATCAGATAGAGAACCCTCGAGGGTCTGAAGCCTCCTGGGCACATCCATGAACCAACGCCCCCCACCGTATGCGCCTCTCCTCACGTCCCAGGGCCCCCTCAACTTATTCGCGGCGAGAACGAGTGTTATGGGGGGGCATAACGTAACGCCCCACCCCCGCGCCGCGTGGGCCCAACACCACAGATTGTGGTGCTGGACGCATTGTGGCAATGCCGGCCGGGGACGCACTGGGGGGGGGAGCGTTACGTCATTGTGGGCGAGGGGGGGGGGGAACATCATGTGACCCAACGATTAAGAAACAAACGGAACGGGCACGACTAAAACAAAAGTTGTCCGAGCCCGCCGGGAAGGTGATGATTAGAGCTTCTCGGGATCACGGCCCGTGCTCGTGCTCGGGATCTGGCCCGGGCTTCACCTTGACTGGACCTAAAGAGAAACACACGAGAACAACACGTACAAAAGCTAGGCAGATACGGAAATAACAATTGGCACTTGCCAAAATAAAGGGGTCGGGGCGGAGGGGGCGCGCTGGCTGGCGGGGGAGGAGGAGGTGAGCTGCCTGCGGAGGTTCACTTGTTTGCATTATACGCTGCGAACATCATGCGAGAACCCGATTGTGAAGACCACCCGCCCTAAAAACCTGTCAGGGCTCCCAAGCTCAAGGCCCGTAGCTGGCGGGCAAGCCTCGGACGAGAGGTCGACGTTGTAAGCCGCCTGCCCCCTCTGTGGGGAAGCCAAAAGGTACCAATACCGCTACTCCCCGGACCTCTCCCAGGGTGTGTTCTGACTCGCATTTCGAGGCGAATCTGGCGAGGGCGACGAGGACGTCCCAGGGGGCCCAGAAATGGGGAAAAACCAGGGAGGGGCAGAGGTATGGGTACCTCTTCCTCCTCTGAATCTGTGCAAGCATCGGGGCCGCACTCAAGCTCATCTAGGTCACCCAACTTAGCTCATCGCGCCATTGGGATGTGCGGATCTCCCAGCGCCCTCGCGAGGCCGTGTTTGGAGACCGCCTTCTTGGTCAGAACTCATGCTGTCAGAGGGCCTCGGGCGAACCCCCCGACCCGCGCCGCCCACGGGCCTGGAGATGCGACAAGGCGTTCCTGTTTGCAGGGAGGCGGGAGGGACGGAGGACGATATGATGAGGAGGAAGCGGAGCTGCAGAAGAACAAGCCACAAACACATAAGCCGTCGAAGGTCCACAACTTCTTGGGCCTGCGTTGGGCCCTCCGACGGCGCGCTCCGAGCGCCAGGGAGCAGGGTCCATCGCCGGTCCAATAACTCCGCGCGGACCTCCGAAAATTGATGTGTGTGTGTGTGTGTCGCTGTCTTTGTTCTCATAATGGTGAAGAGCAGGAGGAGCAGAGGATCGTCTACCTGGCCGTGAACTCGCGAAGCGCTGCGCACCACTCGGTCCAAGTTCCATCTCCAGCAGCTCCTGTCCAAGGCGCAGCCTGGCGCAATCGAAAGTCTTATCCCTGATGACGTAGACCTGCTCGCCAGCCTCGGTGGTATGCTCGAAGCCCAACATGGTCATCAGGCTCTCGACCTCCGCCCCGGCCCCAAGCAGGCAGGCCCGGATCCGAGGGTTCCCTGCCCGGATCTTTCTGAACTTCGCCTCGCCAGGGCTGCCCACGATGTTGCGGACCAGACGCAGGAGCATCTCCACGGCGGCCCGAGCCTCGGGCCGCAGCCCCGCCGGGCCTGAGGGGGGCGCGAGGAAGGCGCGCAGCTGGCCGCTGAAGCGCTCGATCCACACCGAGGCGCCGTCCAGGCCGCTCGCCTCCAGCTCCGCGCGATCCAGCCCAGGGACGTCCGGCGCCAGCTGCCCCGGGGCCTCGGCGGGTGGCGCCCAGGCCTGCTGGGCTGTGCCGCCGCCGCCGCCGCGGTCGCGGCCGTCGTCGCTGCGACAGCCGCTGTCGCCGCCACTGCCGCGGCCGCAGTGGCGATCGACGCCGCCGCCGCTGGCGCCCTCCGTCGGAGGGCCCCGGCTGGGCGCTCGCGCCTGCTGGCCCAGCTCCGCGCCGGCGTCCGCCTCTGCGGGGGCAGGCGGCCCGGGGCCGGGCAGAGGCGCCTTAGGGGGGGAGGAGGGGGGAGGGCAAGGGAGGAGGAGGAGGAGGAGGAGGAGGAGGAGGAGGAGGAGGAGGAGGAGGAGGAGGATCCAGGGTCGATCCTCGGCGGCGGCGGCGCCGCTCGGGGCCGCCTCCGCGGGCGCCTCGCCCGTCGCCTCGCGCGGCGAGGGCACGCCGTCGCCCTGCGCCTCCGCGACCGCCTGGGCGGCGGGGTCCGCGCTGGGCGCCGCCGCCATGCAGGGCGGGCCGTCGTGCACCTGGCCGCAGGGGCACATCATCTTCCAGGTGCCGTCGCCGGCCAGGAAGTTGGGCGCTGGTGCCTCGCCCACCATCTTGGCCTCCTCCACGAGCGCGGCCTGCTCTTGCTGCAGGGTGCGCTGCTCGAGGGCTCTCAGGGCCTGCGCGCGCCTCTCGGCGGCGCTCTCGGGCAACCCGCCGCCCAGGGCGTGGGCTGGCGCCTCGCCACCTCCGAGGACGTGGCCGAAGCCCGAGCTGCCGCTGGCATCGCCTTCGTCACCATCACCGCTGAAGCCTGCGAACTGCTCGTTAGAGTCGCTGCCAGCCGCGCGTCCGCCGTGGCTCCAGAAGCGGTGGAAGCGCATGTACTGAGCCTTGAGTTCGCCGTACAGCTTCCAGAAGTTATTGTCGTGCGGGCCCCAAACGTTGTGAGTCAACTCGTGAATGAGCGTGTTGATGAGGTCATGGTACGGTCGAAAACCTTTCGTGTTGTCTGTCCGCAGCTTGAGCACGATCATACCTCCTGCTCCCATGTTGTAGCCCAACAGATCCATACCAGGTGTCCCGCGCTTGGACATCCGGTCCGCAGCCTCTTGAGGGCTCATCTCTGTCAAAACGCCAACTTTGAAGCTTCGTGACTTCATGATGTCGATGATGCCCGGGTCGGTGGCCAACTTCTGCAACAACCTCTCCGCCTCGAAGGGGGATGGCGTATTGTACTTGAACTCGGCCTTGATAGAGCCAAAGCAAAACTCCGGGTCCTGCTTCGTGCCCCAAGCGGTCCCGTTTCCGGCCCGCATTCGCTTGCGGCGGCTGGCCTCGTCGCGCTCCTCCTCGGTGAATCCCTTCACCAGCGGGTCGGCCCGCGACTTCTGCACGAAAGCGACGTCGTGGGCGGAGCTCGCGACCAGCATGAGCTTGGCCCCTGCCGTCAGGCCGGCTTCTCCGACCGTGAGGTCGTCGTGGTCCGGCCTGAGCACCTTGCCCCGGTGGATGAGCTTGCAGTTCTCCCTCGGGAAGTCCAGGGCCTCCTGCACAAAGTCGAAGATGGAGGCCACCGCCTCCTCCGACTGGACGGGCACCTCGTAGGAGGCGCCCCTGTACGACAGCGCCACGAAGAACACCTCGTCGGCCTCGCCGCGCCCGGCGCCTGCCTCGGGGGGCGCCTGCTCGGGGGCCGCGGCCGCGCACGACATGGGGCGCGGCCTCGGTCGGCGGGGCGGCGGGGCCGCCCGCGCGAGGAGCGAATTGGTCGTCGCTCGGGGCCCTCGAGCCCGCGCGGCTGCGGGCGGCGGCGGCGCGGGCGACGAGGGCGCTCGCCGTGGCAGACCAGGGGCGGGGGGCGGCGGCGGCCGAGGGCGCGGCCTGCGGCGACGCCGGCAGCGGGCCGCTCTCGGTGCCGGTGGCCGAAAGGCGCGGCCCCTCGGCGCGGCCGCCGGCGGGCCGTGCTCGAGGCTCTGCGGCCCACGGCGCAGGCTGATGGCGCCACCCGTGGAAGCCCTGTCTTTCAGGCCTGCTCTCGCTCCCGCAAGCTGCCGGGGGGGCGGGAGGGAGGAGGAAGGCGATGATGGACGGCGGGACGGGGAGGGCGGAGCACGATGGCGGCGGAAAAGATGCCGACGCTCTTTGTTCGACCTGTCAGGGTGGAGCGTGGGGCTCGGGAGCGCGGCAGCACCAGCTGCCTCGAATCGGCCGAGCAACTCGCACGGTGAACGCTTACCCCAAACGAGTCAGTGCCACGAGTCACGCACCGGCAAACTAATAGCACACGGGCGCGAGCATCGGCAAGCAATAATACACGGGCAGCAGACTCCCTTTGCCCCCGTCAGCTCGGGGATGGGCGTCCACTTCGAGACGAATTCTCGTTCTGTTCTGCGCGCAGGCGTCGAGCGACCCGATATCGTCGGGCCCCTTCGGGCGACTCGATCCCTTCGAGTCCCTTCGAGCCCTTTGGACGCCTCTTGGGCAGTCTTGGAGGCGCTGGGGCAGCCCACGGGGCCAACTCAATTGAATGACAAGTGTTTCGATGAGTTTCGCAGTCTTGGCTTGTCGGTCTTGGGGGCATCCACGACGGCCTAAGATGCCACTAGATCGCCCAGAGAGGACTCCCGAAACCACCAAGAGGAGCCCAAGAGGCCCCCCAAGAGCGCACAAGAGGGGCCCAATAAAGGCCCGAACTGACATTGAATCCCGGCCCCTTCCTCCACGAGGCCCCCAAGATACCTTCAAGAGGCCCCCAAGAGACCTCTTGAGAGGCCCCAAGAGGCCTCGTAGAGGCGTTCCTTGTGCACGACACAGACTCGGGGGCGGCCTGGGTCGAAAACCAATAGATCTTCCCGCCCCCTGCTGCTCTCATATAGAGCAGATGATTGCCCGCGTTTTCACCCGAAACTTGCCCAGTGGGGTGGAGCACAACATGTAAAACATTCACACACGTGTGCGGTCGTGACTTGCCGTTTTTTGGCGCGATCAGGGAGCACGAAATCGTAGGTGCGCCGCGCGCCGCCACCTGCATGCATCACGCACCACCGCGGACAGACCGCTGTCTTGATCTCATCCGCGGGGGCACGACTGCTTGACCTACGAGTGGTCATTCCACGCGTCCACACTTGTGTGCACCACTTTCGGGGAGACGTAAGACCCGGGTACGGGGGACTCGGAAATCCCCGACGAGGTCGTCAAAAAAATGACGAGGCCGAGCCTGCATTTTGACGAGGCCTCCCGCTGCAGACATCCCACGAAACTCCTCCTCGTCAAAATCCGAGTCGCGGTCGTCAAAAAACGATGGCGAACCCGAGTCCCGGCAAACCCGGGTCTTACGCTCCCCCGACACTTTTTGTTCAGTTCGAACACGCCCATTCGTGGTCACGCCGTTTTTTTTCCTTGCCAAACTGCCAAAGCTGCCAAACCCGACACCAACACAAGGCTTCGTGGACCTCCGTGAGCACCCTTCGTAAGTGAGAAAAGAGGACATGACAACAACGGCAACGGCGATGAGCGGAGGGACCCAACAGGGGGACGACGACGATGACGACGACGATGACGACGACGGCGGCGGCGACGGCGACGACGGGAAGATAATTCCACCGTAAGACCCACAACACTATCGATGGTGCCATCTATCTTGCGAGCAACCGAGAGCGAGCACGCGCCCGATCGGGGAAGAGGCGCACGGGGAAGGGGGAGAAGCAGCGGCAGCTCAGCAGCGGCGAGGCGACGACGAAAACGAGGAGGAGGAGGACGACGATGGCAACGACGACGACGACGACGACAACGACGACGACGACGACGACGACGACGACGACGGTCCTCAACCCCGGCGAATGCGACGACAACGCTGCCGTCCGCGCCGGAAACCGAAGAGCCGCCGATGGGCCCCACAGCGGCGACGGCAACCGTTATGCAGAGCAACGCGTCGGGCGCCTCAGCGCGCTGATGCCCGCGCCGACGCCGGTCACGAGTTCCTGCCAGCAGCGTCGCCGCCGCGGCAGCGTCGTCGTCGTCGTCGTCGCCGTCGTCGTCGTCATTGTCGTCGTCGGCGGCGGCATCGTCGTCGGCGGCAGCGACGTCGGCACCGGCATCGAGGTCGTCGAGGTCATCGGAGTCGTCGTCTCGTCGTCGTCGTCGTCGTCATCGTCGTCGTCCTCGTCGTCGTCGTCGTCCTCGGCGTCGTCGAGGTCGTCTCCCTCTCCTCCTCCTCCTCCTCCTCCTCCTCCTCCTCGTCCTCCTCCTCTTCCTCCTCTTCCTCCTCCTCCTCGTCCTGCTCCCTCTTCCTCCTCCTCCTCCTCCTCCTCCTCATCCTCCTCCTCCTCCTCCTCCTCCTGGTCCTTGTCCTCGTCCCCGTCCTCGTCCAGCCCTCCCCTCCTCCTCCTCCTCCCTCCTCCTCCTCTCCTCCTCCTCCTCCTCCTCCTCGTCTTGTCCTCGTCCTCCTCTTCCTCCTCCTCCTCCTCCTCCTCCTCCTCCACCCCCGCCTCCTCCTTCTCCACCTCCACCCTCCACCTCCTCCTCCCCTCCTCCTCCTCCTCCTCCACCCCCTCCTGGTTCTCTTTCCTCCCCTCCTCGTCCTCCTCTTCCTCCTCCTCCTCGTCCTCCCCCTCCCTCCTCCACCCCCTCTTCCCTCCTTCTCCTCCTCCTCCTCCTTCTCCTCCCTCCCTTCCTGTCCTCCCTGTCATCCCTCTCCTCCCTCTCCTCCGTTTTGCCTCTTGTCTCCTTCTCCTCGCTTTCCTCCTTCTCCTTCTCCTCCCCTTCCTCCTCGTCCTCATCCTCGTCCTCCTCCTCCTCCTCCTCCTCCTCCTCCTCCTCCTCCTCGTCCTCGTCCTCGTTCTCGTCCCCGTCCTCGTCCCCGTCGTCGTCCTCGCCCTCGTCCTCGTCCTGCTCCTCTTCCTCCTCCCCCTCCCCCTCTAAGAGGAGGTGGAGAAAGAAGAATCCTCTTCCTCCACCTCCTCCTCCTCCTCCTCCTCCTCGTCCTCCTCTCCGACCTCCTCCCCATCCTCCTCGTCCTCCTCCTCCTCCCCTCTGCTCCCCACCGCGTTTTCCCGTCCTGCTCCTGTTCCTGCTCCCCTTGTCTGCGGGGCAAGAAAGGAGCAACCGTGTAGCCAAATGACTGGACCATGGAGTAGGGATGGGACACGAGTGGGGCAATCATGGGGTGAGACTGGAATATTATGGAGCAGGCATGGAACAATAATGGACCAATCGTGGAACGAGGGTGGAGCAATGATGGAATTCATGGAATTAAAAACGGAACACCAATGAAGCCACAGTGGTGCAATAATGATGTGGTAAAAGAGCAATCGTGGAGCAGGCATGGAGTAATAATGGAGCAAGGACTTAACACTACTGGAACAAACATGGATCATGGACGAAACAATAATTGAATTATAACGGAATGAGATGGGGGATGGAGCAATACCGGGATACTAATGGGGCAGGAATGGCACACTACTGGCACACGAATGAAACGATAACAACATAGACCAACACATGAGGCAGCCATTCAATACTAACGAGCTGGGAACGGAGTGAACAGAACTGGGGCACGGGTGGGGAGAGAATAGAGCACCAATGAAACAATAGCTGCGTGATAATGTATCTAGAAATGAATAAAGTTAGTCACTGCGTGGAGCACCTTACATGTGCATCTATTCGCATGGACCTGTCCGCCGTTAGTGTCTAGGCGCAAGAGTTTTCGAAAATAAGCGGGCTTGGGTTGTGACGGTCTGGTCATGAATCTAACTGCGAATGAATTGGAGTGTGAGTGAGCCTCAGTAGTACGAGCGCGTCTCTGCGCATGAGCCTGGGGCCTCCTGGGGCCTCCTGACAACTACTGGGGCTTCCTGGGGCCTCCGCGAGCCTCTTGGGGCCTCCTGGCGCCCCCTGGGACCTCCTAGGGAGGATTCGTGCCCCAGGAGAGGCCCAATCTATAGGAACAGACGTACATAAATCATTGCGGATTGGAGCCAAAGAAGAATGGCATTCTATAGGAACACACGTAAAAAACACCAAGGACTCATGCCGCAGGAGAGGCCCAATACATAGGAACATAAGTAAAACATTTAGGATTGCGTACACAGGGAAAGGACAATCTATAGAAACATACGAATAACATCGAGCATTCGTGCTCCAGGTGAGGCCCAATCTATCGGAGCATATGTAAAACACATGGGATTGGAGCCACTCCCGTTGCCTTCTGAGGCCTCCTGCTCCTGGGGCCTCTCGGGGCCTCCTGTTGCCTTCCGAGGTCTCCTGGCGCTTCCTGTGGCCTCCTGGGGCCTCCTGTGGCTTCCTGAGGCCTCCTGGAGCTTCCTGGGGCCTCCTGGAGCCTCTTGGGACATCCTGTGGCCTCTTGAGTCTTTCTGTGGCCTCCTGATGCCTCCTGGGACCTCATGTGGCCTCCTTGGGCCTCCTGGAGCCTCCTGAGCATCCTGAGGAAAATCAGTGCCCACGAGTCCGGCCACCAAAACAAGCAAACCGATCGAGACATCCTCAACATCTGGCCCACCTGGGGGTGTAAATGAGCGCCTCGCTCGAGATATCCTCCAAACCTGCCCCGAAAACGAAAGATGTTCGCGACCATGACAGGCAAACCGCTCGAGGCATCCCCGCCATTTTGGCGCGAACGGAGGCCGTGCAATACCCCTGGCGGCCCCCCTTAGGAGCGCTAAAACCAGCAAGCCGCTCGAGACATCCTCATCATCTGCTCATCGTCATCATCATCTCATCCGCTCATCGTCATCATCATCATCAGCAGCAGCATCATCATCATCAGCATCATCATCAGCATC